GCCCCGCGTCCTCCAGCACACTGACTGTACCCTGCTAGCCAGGCAGTGTGCATCCGTGGTCACCTTCTGGAAACAGAGCTCCTTTCAGGAGCCCCTGGGCTGCTGGGGTCCCCTCGAAGGCTGCAGTCTTCCTCAGGCAGGACCACCCCAGCAGGGCTGCAATCCCCCTCCACTGCGAGCAGCTGAACTGAGCCATGGGTGCAAGCAGGAATAGTGCCATGTTTTCACATGTTTTCAGACCTAGTTCAGGCAGAAATATTAAACATCCAGAATGACAGGCCTATATTCAGAAAAGTTACAATTGTTCAAATGTTTGGCTGCCTCTTTTATCAGTCTTGTCTCTTTTCTAACAATGTGCTAGATGCTTACAAGCTTTCAAGTGGTTCGCCTGCAAGAGCTTGTGCTCTGTGCAGCTTCTTGTCTTCATGCTAATAGTCCAGTTAAAGTAAAAGGTATGCTGAATGAAGTAGGAATAGCTGTCTCCTCTAGAGAACAGTTACATTCCTGCAGTTGTGTGATGATTTCATGCTATGCAAGAACTGGAAGAAGTTCAGGAAAGTTACATGGCAGCAATCTCCTTCTGAGGTCAGAAGTGCTAGGAGGTGAGGGGGAGAGTGTCATACAAGCGGAGGCTTCAAAGAATGGCTTGGGAGAACTCCTGAACACCGTGCTTTCCAAATGCAGGCAATTAACATCATTACAGTTTTCCCTGAAGGATACAATACTGAGCACTTCAGTCTATTATGATCATTGCATGATCCACTTCAGAAACACCTTCTGTTTTCTCATAGCTTGCTTGATATTTGCAGCAAGTCTGTTAGGCACATACTGCACTTCTCCTGCAAGCCTGAGAGCTGAAAGGGAAAACTGAAATGCTCCTGATTCAGAAGATGTAGGTACATTGCAAAGTTAGTGCACCTGTGTATGCTTCAAAGAGAAGCACTGAGTAAGAATCCACCTTGATGTGCTCTTGAATTGCAAAAGCTTTCTAATGCAGCCTGTGCCCATGATTTATAACAATGACTCATAATATTGCATTATACTTAATATGATGTAACGCTGATGCAAGATGCCATTCGTGGAATTTCAATGTCACAGAGAAAAGAGAGGAGAGAGCAATCTGGTCTTTGACAGCACCTTGCCGTGCTGTCAAAATGGAACACTTACAGCCAAAATGTGTAGAACCTTTCAGTACCTACTTTGCTATTTTTTAGTATCATAACTTGGAGAAAACCATTTTTATTTCCCGGAGCATAAATATCTCTCAGATGTGCATTATTGTGTTACTTGCAGTAATTTAATTAACTTTGTACTTGAGAAGACAAATTTGTTAACAGATGATTCAGCCTTGCAATTATAACCCCTCACATGGAAGTTATGGAAGTTTTCAGGTCAAATCAGGATTATGCCTTTAAATTAATTCAAGCTTTATCTGTCTTTTCTGACCCAGCTGTTACGAATTCTCCTCCTGTTCTCCCTATGCTGCTTGCTTCTTCCTGCAGTGAATCAGCATTTCAGGAAATACTAATTCAAAGAGGAAAGACACTCTAAACTCTGCTTCTGGAGGTCAGAAATAGCTGCTCTCCAGTAGGTTTGACAAATTACGTGAAGCTTTTTGGGCTGCTTGGGGCCAGTTGTGTAGGGTGTATGTGACCCCTGTTCTGAACTCTGCCCCTTCCCTTCCAAGCAGCCTGGGAACTTTGAAGTTGTGCCTGTGTGCTACAGAACTGAGTCCTGGCAGTTTGTCACCGAGACAGGGAGAGGAACAGAGCGAAAGCCCTGCTGGCTCCACCCCAGCAGTGGAGGTGTCATCCTGCAGGACACCATTGGCATCACTGGCATTGGTTTACAGTGTGGGAGCAGCTGGAAGTGGAGACATTTCACACCTGCTGATCACAGGTATGAGTGCTTCTCACTGTGCCCTGGGCATGCACTACCAAGGCTCTTTGAGATAAAAACACATGGATATTCTCCACCTGTCACCTTTAAAATCCTCCACACGTGGCACAGTCAGTTTTCATTCATTCACCTCTAGAAGAAGCTGACAGACAACTGTGAGATTGCTCTGGCAGAGTCATGTTGGTTTAGTGGTGGCCTTGGCAGTGCTGGGGTAACAGCTGAACTGGATGATCTTAAAGGTCTTTTCCAACCTGGTTGACTCTATGATTCTATGAGACTGCTGTTGGCACCACAGCAGATAGAGAGACATCTGCCTAAGTAAAACAAGACTATGAGAAGGTGGAAAGTCTTGAATTAAGATCTCCAAAATGTCTGGATCAGACTTTTCCTGATTCTCTGTAGGTTTATACCATGCAGTCCAACACATGCCCAGTGGGCCTGCCCACTGTATTGCAAAGTCTGTCATCTCTTGCTCACCAAGATGGAACAGATGAATTTGCCAGTGATTCCTAGGAAGTCAACTAGATAATAACACATGTATGATTTACTAGAGTGCATCCTGAATCCTCTGCAGCTGGTGTAATCCTAAAGAAGAACCGTTCCACAGGTCATCCATGAGTGCCCAGGGCAGTGGGCACAGCACACAGTACAGTTTCACACTGCAAGACCAAAGTAGAGGGGACTGGCTTATGAACAGCATAGCAGTGCCTACAGGTGAAGATAACAATAAGAACTGAACATCTGGTTTATTTCTGGAAGACCAGTAGGTGCCAGTCTGTCTCCTACGTGCATAAATATCATCAAAAACCTAGCCATGGGCGAGTAAAACTAGACAAGAATTTGTAGCCCAGAGGAAAGCCACCAAGAACAGATTGTGTGGAGGCTGATAAGATCCATATTGCTCCAAAAGGGAGAGTACCACCTCAGAACAAGACAGTCTTTGTTGTAAGAGGGTTAGGTTGTGAGAGACCTAGCTTGCCAAATACCCGTAATGGCCTCCCTCTGCCAATTGTCTTTAAGTACTGTGATCTTTCACATAAGAGCAAAGCCTGAAAGGAATCTTACTAGGAAAAACATCATTTATCCCTTCTCTCCAGGATGGTGGAGGAACGTGCCTCTTCCCAGTCATGTTACTCCTTCTTTCCCCTGAAGATTTCAAACAGAGATTTGTTTGAACAAAGATCAGTAATTTTGCTCTGTAAGAGATGCAGGAAGAAGAGTAGAAATATCTTGAGATTAGAACAGTTCCTGAGCCTGCTGGAGAAATGGCAGATGGCCAGAGATAGCACACACCACTGTTCTCCCAGGTAACAATGCGCAGAGCTCAGTCTTCCAGGCACAATCCTTAAGGACAGCAAATTGTGCACATATAGGTGAGAAACACAAGGGGCTCATGTCCTCAAGGCTTCTAAACACAGGCCAGCTCTAGGACCAGCTGCTCTCCTTCTCTACCCTGGGTCCATGCCTGGGCGACAATGGAGATGAAAAAATGCAACTTCTTCTTTTCTCTGTATATCTGAGCTTTGCATTGGAAAGAAGAGAATTCTAGGCAGTAGCCAGTTCCATCTCCCTATGCAGCCATCTGCAGGATGCTCTGTCCTTTCTTGGGGATCTTTTAACTGCCAGCACCTATCAAACACAAGCAGACCTTTCAAGGAAGTAGCTTTCCCACAAAGGTGAAACTCCTCTGCAGTCTTCTGTTTCAGTGGATTTGTGCTTGCATAACAGAGCAGACTGTGGATCTCGGTGTTTTACCAGGCTTCTCAGTAAGCAAGAAAGATCTCAGATCATTTGTTCAGCAAATATTAGTGGGTAGCCCTTGATTTATTCTCAGAACTCAGTGTTAATCTTGCTAGCGGTTTGACGTACTGTGTTTGCACTAGAGAGCCAGACACAAGCAGGCACTGGGGATACTAGACAGAGTAAAAAACATAATCTCATCTATAAAACTACTACAGTAGCATTAAATAAAAGAAGGGTTAGGCTTTTGTTTGGGGTGGAAATGGCTTTTTTCTTTTTTTCAATCTACTTGGCTCTAGCATAAGTGGAGCTGTCTCAGAGCCCACAGGTAATTACTACAACAAAAATAGTATCCACAAATTCACTGCTGTTCCTAACTTCCTTCTCCCATTTGCTTCTAAGTCACACTAACATAATGCTCAAATCAGTACTAATGCTCAGTGGAGGAGGTACAGCAGTGAGCTCAGAAAGCAAGAGGATTGATACTCATTCTGTAAAATGCGATTAGCAAAACAGCACCTTCCGTACAGAGAGCAGCGCTGGGCTACCTGCACATGGGGAGCACGAGGCAGCCCCTGGCCACTCCTCGCTGGTGTAAATCAGAGCCCCTGCACCACCGAGACTGTTCAGGGTATGCTGGAGAAGGCCTGACCAGCAGGGATCTGAGGAGCACAGATCAGGTCAGGTCTTCCTTCTGCAACAGCTGCTGTTGATAATCAGAAAACTGGCCAAGTGGAGCAAATAGAAAAGGCAGCAAACCCGGGGCACTCAGTGCCCAGGATCCACAGGAAACGTCTTGGAAGCTGCTGAGTTCCTGTCTTCTTGAGCACTGGTTCTGGAGCAGCTGCTTTCAGCTACCCAGTTCAAAAGAATGGGGAGGGGGCAGGCATCTTGCTGTGCAGAATGATAAAGCAAATCCATATAATGGTGTGAGTCAGCCTGTGGCCTTTTTGCTAAAGTATTTTAATACTTCTAGAGGTAGTCCTCACACAAAGAGCAAGGTTTAAAGAGTTGGTTTGAAAACGATCCCTTTTCAAATGAGGAGTTCATGTCTGAACCTGACGAAAATCCCATTCACCCACACAGTAGCAGCAAGCTTTCTACCATAAAGTATCATTTGACTTTACAGTTAAAATGTTTGTTTGCTTTTTTCTTTTTCCAGCTGTAGAGAGTAACATTTAGACAAATATGTGATGCACAGATGGTCCAACCAGCTCGTATAACTCACCAAGGTGCCTACTTGTCTACTGTAAAATGAGGTTGGCATTAAAGCACACTGTAGTTGCGAGGCACTGTCCATGACCTAACCCATCTCCAGTCCCAGGCTGGAGATGGCCTGGGAGGAAAGCAGAGGGACTTACCTTCCGCCCAGCCTCATTGTTGTGCAGATTCATGAGTGTCCTTGCATTTTGCTTAATCTCCCGGGCATCCACAAACACTTTGGCGAATCCTATTCCGTATCTGATGTCTGCAGAGCAGCCTCCCCATTTCCATCCTTCCTCTTTATGGTACTGTCCTTGTTTTTCTTTGTCACAGCCACAGTCACTCAGGTTGCCCTGTGTACAGGCAGCTGTGATTGCATGTGCTACCCCAGCAGCAATGATGGCGTACGTGAATGCTGCTTCTCTGCTACCTGAAATGAAAACAGTGCTGTAAATACATGATACAACATGGTGACATGAGTTAGAAAAACACAGGCAAGGTCCTGCCGTGCAAACATCAGGAGGCTATTATTAGGAGTGCTGTAAATCTGCAGGCATAAGCAAGTCTCTACTCTTCTAAGTATTGATTTTTGTGGACGTTCACTTTCTGAAATGATAGCTCTCTATGAGATAGTAAGATATAAAGTATTGTTTAGGCAACTTCACATATATATTTCCAGATGGTATTAGAAGTAGTCAAACTAAACTTTCTATAGCAACAGGGTGGGGTGGCAAATGCTCTAGCTCAAAAAGAAAGAAAGAAAAGGAAAATAGGTGGAATTGGGAGTGAAATTGCTAAAACAACCATATTAAACTTCTTAAAAAAACAGAAACGGGATTTTATTTAGGAATTGCATTCTGCACTAAAAACTATTTGTACAGGAAACCAGCCTCTGTTTACAGGAAGAAAACCTCTGTTAGAAATCTTGTTCTGAAAATACCTTTACTGATCTGGAACATGGGATTTTTACATTGTAGGTATCACAAAGTTTTCAGCAGTGATATTTGTGCAGACTCAATGAAATCAGTTTTGGGTTTAATTTCAAAATGCCTCAAAATTTAAATTTCAACACTTAATTTTTCAAAATTAGGATGGAAAAAATAACCTACACTGTTGCAGGTACATGACAAAAGCAAGGCAACGTAACAGCCTCCGCAGAGGACTGCGAGGAGGAGGTTAAGCCAATATTGATTTGTGCAACACAGAATCATAGGATACTTAGGGTTGGAAAGGACCAACAACATGGCTATAATAACAACAGGCTTCTGTTTGGTTCTCACTTTAGATCTATGATTTAATTTATCTTGAAGATTTTTTGCATTCTGCTCTGTGGATTTCCCATATGTGGATCCTACAAGATCTGAGAGACTTCCAGAACCAGTTCTGATGCATGAGAGCCCCTTCAAAACCTAAGGAGATATGCAGAGATCACCTATGTCTGTCAAACATCCCATTAAAAAAATCTTGGATCTCCCAAACTAAGCAATTACCCATACTCTTATTTCTCCAAGGTCAAAATCTACCCTTGCATCAATTGGATCAGAATCAGGCTCTTAATCAGGAGAGGTGCAGATGGGAAGATCAGCTTCCCTTCTCCAAACACCCAGCAGTGGAGTTCTGGCAGAGCTTAGCTACTGGCAATAGTTTCTTATACAAGAAACAAGCACATTTCTGTTGTTTATTGGATTTCACAAAAAAATCATTACTTGGGAAAGAAATCTTACAAGCACTTCATTCTCAGCTACGTCCCTTTCACACCCATGATCTGGATTTCTCTTACTTGCCACTAAATGGTTCTTCTAATGCAAAATGTTCACTTCCTTAAGGCAAGAAGTACAATGGAAAACAAGATGACATAAAATCTGTTAATAGGCATCTTCACACCCTTTTATTGCACACGCAATATTCCCACTAATACTGCCATGCACTGTATTTAAGAAACTTGTAGTAAAGTATCATTATTCCTCAAAGGATTTCTTGTTTTCCTATATTAAAAAAAAGTCACAAAATGTTGAGTTGTTGGGACTGTGGACTTTGCAGATGAAGCTTTCCAGAACATTTGGCTTTTTATGAAAATCTGAATGGGGGATAGAAATCACAGGCTTTAGGTGGATTTGGAGTTGCACTCTCAGTGCCTCTGTATGGACACCAGAGGAGGCAGGTGGAAATTTGGTCCTACTCCAGAGTGAATCCACCAGGACCAGCAAGGGCACCTTGTAGTTCTTCCTCCAGTTTATCTTCAACAATATCCTCACTATTTTAAATACAACACTATGAAAAATACACTGACAAACAGGGCAAGGTAGAATAAGAAGTCCCAGTTTCTCTGCTCAGAGGGGAGCAATGCATTACACTGGGTTTCTGGTGAAATTTGCATCTGGTTCTGGTTTTCCTTCGGTTGGATGATTTCTGCTCTATCACAAGTTGTTTTCAAGATCTAGAATAAAAAACACTGGGAGATCACTTTAACCTGACATACTGAACATAATAAAGACTAAGCAGCTCTTTTGCTTCTTAGAAGGGAGCAAAATGCAACGCAGGGAGTATAAAACTGGCACAAGCAGAATCAGACCCCAGTGTCAATCTTGGCCATAAAATATGTTACACAAATTAAGTTATTTTATAAGTGGGTCTTGTTTGGGGGAAAAGTTGAGCAGCTTTTTAAAACTAAAGTTAGAGAATTACAAGGTAAACTAAGTGTCTGGAGGAATTGATCCAGGCGGGAAGCACCTTGGCACTTGTGCAGTATTGATAAAGTGGAACAGGCTTGTCCCGTCTGTATCAAACTATCGCTGTTTTTCCACAAATCAATCACTTTTTGAAGCTTCATTACCCTTGTCTGGCCCATAGGAATGCCAGCATACAGGCTAGGGGGAGACTTAATTCATTTTGAGCCTCCTCTGTGACAATGCTTTAAATATCAAAGGAGCATAACAGGGCTTTGGACAGCAGACTGGATAACATGAGAACATGTGCTTTCCTACCACTTTTAAACAGCAAATGCTACTCCTCTGCTTCTGGTTTCAGCAGACAGTTGAGGTGCCTGGAGGATCTCGGAAGGAAACGCTGCTTTAACAAGGTAGGCTCAGGCTGCTGCTTGCAGGCAATGGGTGGTTTCCTCTGAGACTCTGCTGATGCTCCAGAACAGCTGACCTGCTCTGTATTCAGTCTAATCTCAAAACATGGGTAGGTTGAAAGGTGCAACATCATCACTGCTGGATGGTGGATTCTGGATCAGTTTGGGAACTAAGCTGATATCATCCTCTTTTATCTTCTTTCTTGTTTAGTTTTCAGCTGAGACCTATGCTTTACTTTCCCTCCGAAAATTTAGGAGTAAAAACCTTGGGATCCTGGTGCTAGAAAAAGGTCAGGCTTTGATATCAACACTGTACTGAGACTCTCATACCCAAGCTGAAGGTGATGGTAACTGTAGCATCACGAAATATTTCACAGGTGGGAACAGCACCTCTGGTGTAGGAAGATAAAGAAATTCAGCAAAGCAGGAGGTACGGCACAAAACATAGGGCAAAGAAAGGACAGAGCTAGCAGCAATGCATCACACCATGTGAGACACAGAGCCTGCTTGGGCCACTTCTTTCCTAGCAAAAATAGATAGATAGTCAGCAGGTTGATGGTAAAATCAAGGGGTTTGCTCTTCTGTATGACCAACAGAGTGTGGAAAACTCTAATCTGCAGTAACTACCTTCTCTAGATGGCTCAGAAGATCAGGCAGTAGCTGGGAGAGTAAATTGGTATGTTTTCAGCAGTGAAATCAGAAAAGACCTTTTGGAGAGAGCTTAAATAAAATGTACTCAATGGCGTGAGCTATTCAAGCTGTCTCTTGAGCAATTTTATGACCCATTCACTAGACACCTTGTGCGGAGACCCAGGAATTAAACCTTCTCACAGCCAGTTCTCACTGAACCCATACTTAAACTGCAACTGGACTTAAATCTATGATTTAAAAAAAAAAAAAAGAATTTTTTAAAAAGTAAGTTTAATTTAGAAATACATATAAAAAACAAACCCAGTGATCTTTGTGGGAGGATTGGTGGAAATCATGATCCCAGATGTTAGGTCAACTTAAGAGGTTTTGATGAGGCTTTTCCAGCCCATGACTTGCAAGGGTGCACATAAAACCACTTGTGATGAGTAAACTAGCAGAGGAAAAATGAATGACAGCTGCCTGAGCCCTACCCGAGTTGTGGAGAGAGGTGGAGAGTTGGCTGTGTGTGTACAGGAATTGTAAGCCACCCTTTCAGCTCCCAAATCACATGTTCTTCTCATTGTCTGGAATAAGCAAAGGCTAAACACACGCCAGAGATCAACTCCAAGCATTAGAAGCTGCAGGAAAGCATGCAGCAGTCTGTCAGAGGTTGCTTTGGTCATTAATGAAGCTGGTGATGTGACAGGTTTCTACCCACGGCAGCATTGCCAGGTATAACTGCTATAACACCATAAGTGATGCTCAAGCACAGTGGCTGGCAGGGAGTGGGGGGCACACCCTGTGCTTGACCCCAGCAGTGTCACCCATCAGCACTCAGCCTGGCCGTGAGATATGGGCACTGACACCAGCCTGGCTCCACTTCCCCATCTACACAGGGGCTGTCCTCAGCCTAAACAAGTGCTTCAGTGCTGTGGGAACACAGAGGCTTTTCTTCATGAATCGGACACAAATATCTCCCCACTCTTTCTGGGTTTCCATAAGGTATTCAGCGTGTTGCAGCTCCAATTGCTTTGACAGCAGAGAGTTTGGCATCCATGGCCTCCAATATTCCTGCAGCCCCACTCTGTTGATGCAAATCATGCTCTGAAGCACTGGAGTCCTGGCTTTAGACCCTTCACTGGGCAGCAGGCGACAATCCCAAACTGGCTTTGTCTCTGAGCTCTGCACAGTCAACCACCACCACATTGTGTCAAATGTCACAAAGGGAAGCACTAAGATTACCATAGATAAGTGCAAACGTAAGTATTACCAAGACAGGTGGCTCTCCTAACACTGAGCATACTTCCGTACCCAGTAGCATTAATCCTGCAAATATTCACATGTGTGTCTTTGCTTTTGGGTAAAAATGTTTGTGTGACTGGGCTTTGGCTGATCAGCAAGTGGATCAGCTGCAGAGTGGTCTGCATTCTGGTTTTAATTTAGCTTTCAATTTAGTTTCATCTAAAAATTTGAACAGTTTGTAAAAAGCTTCATTCACACTGATTAGAAATAAGAATTTAGTTTTAAAAAGCTGCATAATCCCTTGATGTTGCATGGGAAACAGGACCTAAGCTTGCAAGATAGACTGGGTTTACTTGCAGGAAGTCAACAGGTGCTCAGCAGTTCAGTACCTCTCAGGATCTAAGCATGCTTCTAAATAACTTGGCCCATCCCATCAGTCCCCCCCATGAACTGACTAAGCTGTGAAATAAAAAAGATAAATT